ATAATAATTAAAAACATAATAAACAATAGATTTGTTTCCAAATAGTTTTTCTTAATTCCTTCTTTCCTTTGGAGAAAGTTCATAATAATAATGATTGTTATTTTAAAATTTCTTAAAAAGTAAAAATTCTTCATATGAGTTTTCTATATGGATAGATATTCCGGGGTGTCATATGCGTCTCCCCATTAGTTACATACATTACACGCGGTATTTAACTTGCACACATTCACCCAAAAAAAAAAAGATGAACAAAATAAAAAATTTTCATTTTGAAAAAATTTTTTTAAAAAAAAAAAAAACAAATAAAAAAACAATTAAACATAAATAAAATGTCCGAAAAATTGAAAAAAACGCAACAAACCAAAGTAAAAAAAACCAATAACAACAATAAAACCAAAACAAAATTATCATCTTATAATAATATAAAAATTTCAAAAAAAAAAGTTGAAAACAAATCGGATTTAGTTGTTGAAGCCTCTAGTTCCGTCTCATCGACTTTCGCGTCTATTTCAACCTCGGATTTATGCGAAGCTGCTTGCTCACATTTATCGCTTTACAAAGCAGAAAACCCTGATAATTATCTAACAAATTACAAGAAAATAGCTGATTCGTCTGTAACATGGTATCGGACAGGTATTGAAGTTTCCAGGGGAAAGAAAAGGGAGAGAAAGGTATCTTCATAAAAAAATTTTTTTTTAATAAATATGCTTTTTTTCCATTTCAATAATCAATATTATTAATTAAATAGCTGCATCCACAAAAATGTCAAGAATGTAATTTTAATGGTGATCGAATACATTTTTGCCAAGATTGTTTTTATATTGGTTGTTGGAAAAATGGTCATGCAAGATCACATTATAAAAACACTAATCATAAATTTGGTAAATATATATTTTATTTTTTCTTGGATAATTAATAATTTATTAATTCCCATTTATTTTCTATTTTATTAATAGCAACCGATGTGAAAAGATTATATGTGTATTGTTTTGAATGTAATAATTATATTTATGACTTTGAATTTGAAGAGATAAAAAAGCTTGCTGATATTAGAGCAGCAGAAGATGAATCGATTGAAAAAGGTAGTAGAATGTTTGTTCTAAAGTTATAATTACAATATAGCTATAATTATGATATTTTACCCCAAAAAACCAAAAGAACCAAATTCAAAACGAGCAAGATTTGAAGTATACAAGCCTACACCTGAAGAAAGTATTCTTATTAATGAAGGTTCAACTTCATTTACATGTGCGGGTAATAAATTTGTTTATCTTCTTGTACAAAAAATCAATTTAAGATGTTTCACTCAACTTTTTTTTAAAAAAAATTTCATTCAGGATTTCGTGGGTTCTATAATTTGGGAGCGACCTGTTTCATGAATGCAGTATTACAAACCTTTATGCATAACCCAATCATAAAAAATTACTTTATGATGGATAAACATAATAGTAAACTATGTGATAAAACTTGTTGTATGTGTTGTGAAGTAGATAATCTTTTTCAAGAGGTATCTAAATATTTTTTTTAATTTTAGATTTGAAAATTACAGCCAAAAAAATAGTTTTATCTTAATTAATTAATTGTTTGGTTGATTTTAGTTTCATACTAAAGAAAAAAAACCATACCCGCCATGTTCTTTTCTTTATGCAATGTGGAACAGTTCAACTGAATTAGCAGGATATGCGGAACAAGATGCTCATGAATTTTTTATGGCTGCATCTTCTGGAGGTATTCCATTTTTGATTTTCCTTTCAGTACAAAATTCACATTGAT